TTAAAGTTTTGTTTTTTTTTCCTAACTTCTTCGGATTTTTGCCTTTGCCAGGCTCTTCTAATTGTTTTTATGCCTGGATCACTATTCTGTCAACATTACTTTTCCTTCCCTGCCCACTCAAATCACTCAAATCATACTGGCCACTGTAACATAGTACAGTCATCCACTTGTAGAACAGCCTCTTTCTACCAACATCCTCCTCAATGGTTATCCACTGGTCACAACATTTTCACAGACGAAAATCTTTCTATCGCCTCTCACTAGAGCTGTGTACCGGTACGCAGTACCGATACTGTACCGGAAAAATTGATTAGGTACAGGTCCAAAATACCTAATCCCTCAGTACCGGTACTGTACCTAAACAATTTCACACCAATTTTATGCCTATTTGTGACCTCAAATGGGTCCCTGTGTAAGGACAGTGTGTTCATGAAAACAAAAACATCTTTAGTTTTGCCTATATCTTATCTGAGCATTCGCCATAAACAAAGAATAAACCTTAACTAACAAGTTTATTAATGTTTTTTTGTTATTGAAGGAGTTCAGAAGAGCATATAAATTGGTCGAATTGTTCAGGTACAGGTTCAGGTCCGGACCTGTACCTAAACCTGTGTACCTGTACCTGTACCTGTATCTAAAATTTGTTTAGGTACACAGCTCTACCTCTCACGCATACATTTTATCAACAAACTAAGTGCTAACTATTCCTTCCGTCTGTTCTTACTAGCTACATGTATATTGTCAACAAAATATAATTATATTCTCATAAACATGGCCACTGGCCTCCAAACAACATGTGCCACACAATACAAAATATTTTTAACTATAAAATATTTTTTACTTAAAAGTGTAGCCATTATGTAACTTGATTATAATTCCCGTTGTTGTAATCGACTCAGGATTTCCGCAATTACTTTCTCTCAAAGTTGTGTTGAAAGAATTACCAGGTTTATTGTATTCTTGAGATCTTCGAGCGTGTTGCAAGATGACTGTTTCTGTCATATGGAGGCGTGTTGCCTGTGTTTCACGTTTGTGTCAATAAAATTCCTAGTATTTCCGCCAAACCCGCCATTTGTTGGTTGATACTGTGTCCATTAGCTATGGTCCTAGGAGGTAGACATAAAATCACTTTCGCATGCGAAATAGGATTAATTTTTGAGTTATATGACAATAGTAAAGTCATTGTGTATGTTACATGTATTTGTTAAACCGTGGTCCCTGATATCAGCCAATTGCAATTCCAATAAAATGAAATGAAAAAACAATTAACATTTCTTTTACAGTACACTACCAGCAATATCTTCTTCAACACAACATTTCAATAGCCTTGAAGAGGGCCTGCATGGGGGAGTAGTGATTACGAATTACGCAAAATTTTCCCCGCCGATTACGAATTATGTTACAGTCTCAGAGCTGATTACGACTTTACACTTTTGCGGCTAATGTACTATTATGAATTACGTTGATTTTAGGGAGGCTGCCTACGGATTACCAAGACTCAAAAGGCCTGAATACGCCTTACAAAAAAGGGCATGCAGGCCCTCCTTGAACAGTGACTTTCCCAGAAAATGTCTACTGGTTATTCTGCAGCAACATCCAGCTGATTTCCATTTCAAGAGAAACGTTGAACATCAAAACAAGATTCCTACATGTAGGAGGCCATTCCCAGACAAATGAATAATAAATTCACCTTGAATTGTGTCACCCAGCATACATGTAGCTAGAACTGATAGCTCTAAGACTTGTTTTCAGGAAATGCAAAATGCATCTTCCATCAGTTCTTGGAAAACAATGATTGATATTTGCCAACAGGGCGAGTAACGTTACGTGTGTGTTTACATAGCAAATGGTGAGATTGAAAAGAACTTTTCAAATAATGATCCAAGGCCACACCAATTTAATTTCTTGGTTAACGGATTTTTCTAGAAAAATAATGGAGCGGGTGGGCGAAAAAAAATAAATAAAAATAAAAACAGGCCTAGGCATCCTATTATGGCCCAAAAT